TTATATATATATATATATATATATATATATATATATATAATATATATATATTTTATCTATACTATGCGCATCGATATATTCCTATAGTTATAAATTATCATCTCTTTTTAAATTCCCTTATTACTCTTTGCCATCTACTAAGTTATATAATCTTCCTTACGTTTAGTTATTATACTTGCAAGATATGTATCGTCGTGTATATAGATGTATGTCTGTGCTCTCTCTCTCTCTCTCTTTCTCTCTATCACATCCTTAACAATACGCTTTGCTCTATCCCTCACTCGAGTTTTAAACATCGCGAGGGTGCATAGGGGTTGCTGCGGATCGAAGCCGAGAGGGGCCGACAGACAATTTCTCGCGCGCTGCTCGCTCGTAATATTCCTGTTTCGATACGCGTTCTTTATATAGCCGTTCTTTTTTTTCTCTTTTTTTCTCTCTCCTCCGTCGTCGATAGATTGATCTTTTTCATTGTCGTCATCAAATCGTGCTCGAATCGCGTTACGAATTATTTCTTTTTCTTACTTATCGTCCCGTTGTACTCGCCACTTCTGCGGGCGCAAAATATTTTCCGCGCCCCTCCCCCTCTCGCGAAGATCGTGCGCGCGAGGATGCTTCGTGTCGTACGCATCCAGAGTGCCCTTACAGTGTACATCGTGTGCGTATGTCCGTGTGTAATGGGTATGTACTAGTCTCTTGTCATGTCTATACGTATCACTGTTTGCATTACAATCGTGTGTTTGCGGTCCGCGTTACGCGCACCTTTTACTACTTCGTCATTTTTTCGCGTTTATTACTCTTTTTTTTTTCTTCTTCTTCTTTATTCCTCGATTAAGAAAATGGCAGTTATCGGTCACAGCCAATGGCTATATAATAATCATTAAAGTTTACGCTTTAATATTTTACAATTATTAAATCTTACGTCACGACACCTTATCAGTTAAGAGAGTTATAGAACGCCTCTAAAAACTACAGACGCGCCACGTCCATTTTACTTTTATTATATTTATCGGTGTTTACGCGCGAGTGCGTGTTTCGACAACGTCATCCGCGAGTGCCCTGCGACATACGAGTGCGAATGTATAAACATACGTACGCGAAAAGCGGAGAAAATGCTCGAAGAAGCGAGAGCGGATCCGAGAGACGTCAATTCAGAGCTCCGGTTCTCTCTCTCTCTTTCTCTTTTTTTTTCTTGCTATCGACGTTTGATAGCCGCGTAATTGTTACAGTTTCCACGACTCGCGTTTTGTTACTATCGACGATGCTAAACTGCCGCCGTTTTTTATCGCTTATCGGCGGTGCTACGCGCGCTCAACTTTTGATTTACGTATGGCACTATGTAAATTACGCGAACGTCTGTGTCCCGTTTTTCTGTGCAGTGTCAGTGGCAAACGGTGGTAAAGCGACGATCATAGATGTTTTGCGACCTCGCGGCGAAAGAACGGATGTTCAACGGGATTGCGCGCGATGTTTCCGGGATCAAAATTCGAAACGCGAGCACGATGACGAAAATGACAATCGTGAGACAACGACGACACTGACGAGCCTCGAATGATGTCGGAACCTCGGCCAAAGTGAAGGCGCTGCCTGAATGTCGTATTCGTGTGCGTGTATGTTTAAGTTAGGGTGTGAATTACAGCGGAATTGTCCCAAAGTCTAGCGGAGGTTCTCGACGAGCTTACGTCCCTGCGAGATGTCCACCCCCCCCCCTTCCCCCAGTCGCGCCCGACGTGATCTGCCCGACATTTTAATCCGAATTTTCCCCCCGCAATTTCCTCGAGAGTCGCGGAAACGCGACTTCGAACGCGGCAAGGCCGAAACGCGAGATCGTAAGGAAGACTGTGTGCAAACCGGCGCGTTCCGCGTAGAATTCCAACGCCCGGCGCGCGGTGCAAGGTTTCGAAATGCGTTCGCGAAAATGTCACGAGAGCTGCAAAATACCGAAATTGTCGGAGTGCGCGACCTAATTACATACATCGATTTCCATGATGCGTGCTCCGCTCAATTCTTTCCTAAAAGCACCATTGACGAATAGATTATGGAGCGAGGCGGAATTTCGCGCGATTCGCTTCTCCTCGTTGGGAAACGAGGACGTGTCCAGCCTTTGAACGCCTCGTCCTGATATTTCGAACCCTCTACCATCGATCATCGATCGTGTTAAAAAAAAGCCTTCGAAACTTGATCCGCCTTCCGTGTCCCCTCTCTCACTTCAGCCTACTCGCTCACACACGCGCCGTTCTTTCGTTCGTGTTTGGCGTCACGTTCCGAGTTCTGGCAACCACCCTACACCTCTTTTAACCCGCTATCATCTCCCTTCCGTTATACACGCTTTCCCTCTATTTTTGAAGTCCAAAACTTCTCTCGTCCTCCCCCCGTTTCCGGAAGTTCTCACGCTTCTCTCCTTCTCTTCGCGCGCGCATAGAGAATACTCTTCCGCCGTGGAATAATAAGTATGCATTACTCGCGGATAAATATCGGCGTCTTTCGCTCTTTCTCTCTCTCTCTTTCCCTCTCTCTTTCTCCCGCGATTACCAATTGAAATATATAATATATTATTGTAATATCTTTCTCTCTCCATTCGCCCCGATTGAAATGTACAAACGCGTGCACGCGTATATACGTGAAATCGATGGAAATTTCTCCTCCTTGCTCTCTAGAGGTATTTCCCGCTTAATTAAAAAAAAAAAAGAAAAAAAAACAGAAATAAATCCTTTCTTCGCAGCGTCGTCCGTCTCTCCCTTCTTTGCTCTATTTAATCGCCCTCTCCTCCTGTCTCCATTTCTCGAATCTCGTAACCCCACACGCGCCCGCGAGATCCAGAACGGATTTTCAGACTTATTACAGCAAAGTTAATTAGAGATTACCTGACACGATCTACATTATTACATACGCACGCCAGTCGCTTGCAATTTCTCGCGGCGGCGCGACGGTTTTTTCGGAACGTAGATGCTAAAGAGAATACCTATAAATATATTTCATATTGTGTATATATATAATATAATAATATAATATAGATGTGTATTATGTCACATCACCGTACTCTTTTTTTTACCGCAACTTCTTTTTCTCTCTCTTTATACTTAACATAGAAAAAATATAGAATTCACTTTTATACCTCGAACTTAAATATAATAAACTTCTTTCTCTCTCTCTCTTTCTCTTTCTCTTTCTCTCTCTCTCTCTCTCTCTCTTTCTCTCCTCAATTATCATAGTATATAAATATACGATTTTGTTATCCGTGTATCGTGTCTTTTGTGTATTATCGCGTGAGTGTATACGTATGTATGTAAGTGTATGCTTATTTCCCTTCGTGTCCGTGAAACGTGTAGATATACAAGTAACAAATAATAATATATAAATATTGTTCGCGTATGTCTTTCGCGCACCCGAAGCTCGTGCGTACGCGAATTTATTTTTAGCGTGCATTTAATCGTGCAGAGTGAATGCGTGAGTGAGAACGCGAGTCTTCGTTCGTTCGTGTATGTGAGTGTGTTTGTTTATGTATGTGTAAAGAAGAGTCCAGAACGAAGATCGCGTGGTATATACGGGAAATATAAGAGGAACTGGAGTGGAGAAACACGAAACGCGAAGCACACGGCGAACGGAGACATCCTCGTTTCGCGCGATAAAAATTAAAAAATAAAAGAAAACTAAACTAAAGAATCGAGTCTCTTATTCGAAAAGATCGAAAAAATATTCTCTCTTATCGTCCAACACCCATCACGATGGGCGATTTAGATATATATAATATATATATTTATATATATATATATATATAATATATGTAATATGTATTATAATATACCTCGACTTATTCGGAGCTGCGACTTGAGCATATATTCGTTTAAAAAATGGCAACGATTGACAAGAACTTTCGACAATAAAAAATAGAAATGCAGACAACGACGAAGGACGCCGGGGAAATAGGGAGGGGGGGGGGGTAAGTGGGAGGGAGAAATCGAAGGGACGATGACAGAGGCCGAAAAGGAAAATGGAACTTTATGGAATAAACTCGATATCGAAGCGAGGGAAAACGGAAATACGCGGAAGAATTTTATCTCTTCCGCTGTTAACGTTTTTGACACGTTCAGCTACCGCACGCTAGATTTCCGAAAAAAAAAAAACTGCTTGCCGCACCCATGTGTTATAATGTCTTCTAAGTTACGACACACCGATAAGATAGACTCTATTTAACTTTATGGCGTAGAATACAAAATTATCGGTATCACGCGTGACGCCCGGCAGCGTCGCGAGTAGCGAAACGTGTCGTGTGCTATCGCGCCTTTTGTTGTTCGATTTAAAAATCTGGAGCTATCGTTCTCTCCTATCACGCGCATTTTGGGACCTCTCGTTGCGAGGGTCCCGTTTGATTAGCTTCCCCTCTTTTCGTCTTTCTTCGAAAACGAGATTACACGCAGATTACGGACCGTAGGGACACGTACCGAGCTTCCTCTCGTCCACGCAGAACGAACGTCGTGGTTTTGCATCCTTGCGCCTAACGGAGGGGAGCCCTGCGATCACCCTTGCGAAAGCACAATGCTCGTCCACGAGAACGGGGGAGGGAGGACGATGTCTTCCGCCTGTCTTCGAAAGTAATGAGAGATGCGTCCTCGTCCTTCCTTCCGGCGATCCTCGAGAGGAAGCGGTACAGAATGACGTTGTATATGCATATAGAATGAAATAGATATAGATATATATATATACAGATATATATATATATAACAAATGTGCGATATACATCCATACATTACAGTCGCGTGCGTTAATGTGTCCGATGCGTTTAAATTCAATGATCAAGTTTCTCTGCAATATTTAAGAATGATTTTATTCAATTAATTTTTCACTCAATGCTTCATGTTCGCGTAAATAATATATATATAAAAAACATAGGTAAGTCATGCGCCGTAAGGTATCCTCGCGAATGCGAACGTATCGGACATCATTAGCACACTCGATTGCGCGCACATACACACACACACACACACACACATTTATGTATATTAACTCTTTCCGGTTCATATTTTTTTCTTTTCCACGGAGATGAAATTTTCACTTACCACGCCGCTACATGCTGATGCTAATTTAATTAAACATTGAATGTTGAAAATTGCAGTTGAAAACTGTAATGTATCGCTATGATAAAAGTCAGAACTACAAACCTATGTATGCTATGTAAAGACGCACGGAATTTATAGAAAAAGCATATTGTAAACTGAAAATTATTCACTCCAAATGGAATCTCACGACCGGAAAGGGTTAATGTATGATAATATAGTGATAATGTGATTATGCTCTCCAACAAAAACAGGAAAAAGACATTACGTATGCATCGTCGATCCCTACGTGAAACGAGTATCGTTTAATCGAGCGTTTAAGCAATCTACTTGATTATTACTAGTCGAAAAATACACTTGCGCGAGCCGCTGGCGCATCGACTGACCTGTTTTTTTTTTTTCCTTTTGCGCTCGTTCTTCCTACCTAAGAGCGGACGCGCGGCCCCTCGACTTACGCATTGTGCTCTATTCTCTTCTTTTTTTGTCCGCATATCTCTCTGCGATTTTCCATTTTCTCGCCGTAACGCATTCTTAAATAACTCTTTTTTTTTCTCTCTACGGCGTTACGACCCAAGACCACCCGTCGTCCCATCGGCGAAATCGCGAAAAATACAAAATCTAAATCTCGTCGATAAAATATCATTCGCCGCCTATATTTCTCTTTCACTCTCTCTCTTTCATTCACATTTCCGCATTCTATCATCTTCTCATTCGCTCACATTCTATCAGACTTCCTGACATAATATATTTATGTATATATTTATGTTTATATTTATATATATATATAATATATTATTAAAGTTATCATTATTTCGATTGCTATTTTTCGCTTATATAAAGATATTATTTTAAGATAATACTCTAATAGCGAGGGAAGCCGGGTGGAACGAACGCACCGTCCGCTATATATCGCTACATGATTTCGTGGCGAATCGAGGGGCCCGTGACCCTCTCTTCTTTTCCCTCTCTTTTTCACGTGTAGGATGTCTGTGCGAGATCATCTATCAGTGTGTATTTGCGTGTGTGTGTGTCGTGTACGTGTAGGTGTGAGTAATTCTCGGTAATCTTCAGTGTCGCACTCGCGACCGCAGCTCGCAGGTTCGTCGAGTTCGTAATTGTACACTCAGCAACGGAAAACTCCTTTCCGGATCGATGATAAGAACTTAACACTTTCTATGCGCGTTCCCGTGTAAACGCTGAGATCAGAATTATTATATTCCTTTTTTTCTTAAATAAAAACAAGAGTAATACATGAGAATGTATGTTTCGCGAGGATAGTAAAGTTGCCCAGTGCGCAATTGTCGTGAAATTATCGAGATGATATTTCATCTAGCCTTTCTTTGACGCAGAAACAAGCATCGTAAGATTAGAGACAAATAAAAAAACGTTAGATTTGTATCTCTCTCAGTTATCACCGATTGAAAGTACTGACAATCGAAGATACGAGACAGATGCATGCTTTGACCGAACGTTACGAGAAGCTTATGAGCAATCAGAAAGTCGAAAGTTTCATTTTGGGGGGTTGATTCAAACATGGTCAGTTATTCAGTCAGAGTTACTAAAAAGGGGAAGAAAGTCGTGAAAGCTCTAATATCCATCATGCTAAATAAGCAGCCTCCGTTCCCAGCAAACGTTCGACTCAAAGAAATCTCAGGAACGAGCAGAGTCTTTAAAAAATGGTAAAACCGAGAATGTCAAGTGTGGTCAAAGATTCGGCGGGGGCCGGTCGGTCCGCGACTCGATTAATCTCAACGTTCGGACCGCGGCCACCGCGCAGAAAAGGGAAAAACAGAGTAGCGTCTCGGTAATTATCAATCTCGCTACTAATAATATCAGTCGCAGAGTATCGCAGCGTCGATCTTTTGCGGGCGACAGAGAGGCTCTTTTTCTCGCACGTCAGTCCGAACAGTACTCACAAAGGAAGTGCTCTCTCCTTCGGTATTCTTTCGTACTGTCATACCTTGTGGTTTATTAGAGAATACTCGACGAGCCGCGAGCCCAATCTATAGAAGCCTCAAGGAGTGTGTGTGTACATATGTGTGTATGAGGGACGGGAAGGGGGAAATGCAGACGAGATGGTGAATATGAGGCGAAGAGGAAGGGGGTAGGAGATGCGGCCGATGACGGTGGGTGAGTGTTGTTTCCATCTCTGTCTCTGTCTCTGTCTCTTTCTCTCTCTTTCTTTAAATATATATCTCGTAGAACTTAAAAGCTGGTTTCGTTGTATCCGGTCAGCGGGAACTCGACGGATCCGACGATCGGCCCGTGGGCGCGATTCGCCGAGGCGAATTCCCGTCGCGTAAAAGAGATTATTGGCAGCCGTGGAATTGAGACATTGTGCGCGTTCGGTCCCCTGACGACGACAACAACGATGAACGTCACACCGGCACTGGAAGGACGATGACAACAACGACGACGACGACGACGACGACGACGACGACGACGAGGCCGATGATGATGACAGCGAAGAGACAAGCCGGCCCCGGGGACGACGCTCCGTGAGGATCCTCGCGTGGATCACTGCCGTTGGCGTCGCGGGCGCCGATGTTGTCCTCCGACCTCCCGCCGTCGTGGAACAATCGTTAGCCGGCCTTGCTCGTGGAGCGATAGAAGATGAGTTGCTGTGTAATACACCGGGTGTCGCGACACGGGGAGACTGACGGGCGGCTCGACGGGGGCCCCTCTTAGGAGAATATACGGAGCACTTGCAGGACAGGCCGGCTGCAGACCGGACAGGCCGGCTCTTGGTTCTCGCAGACCTGGTTACCGCAGTCCATGCAGAAGAGATTGTGTCCGCAGGGCACGAGCGCGGCGGTGACTTCCTTCTCAGCGCATACGACACACTCGCGTCGCGCGCCACCGAGGAGCGAATCCGTGGGTGATGCCGGGCTCGCCGTCGTCGGCGGCGATGGTCTCGAGGGTAGCGCTACGCTGGGGAACGACCAGATGGACGATGCCGGCGCTGGTTGTGACTCAAAAGACGGCGACTCTCCCAGTCCCTCATCTCTCTCCAGACCGGCACCCCAGATAGCGACGATGTCGTTCAGTCCGATGCCGCCGGAGCTGCTAGATGAGCTACTGCAGCTGCCGCTGCTTGAGAACGCACCGTTGGAGCTGGTGGAGCTGTTGGAGCCCGGTTGATCCATACCCTGAATACCGAGAACCGAACCGAGTCCGCCGCGGCACAGAGCACCCAACAAATCAGTCTCGTCAACGACGCCGGGCGCCGTACCGGTGCGCAGGGTGATATGCGCCTGTATCTCGCGTCTGGCCGCCTCCACACTTTCCGGCAGACCCGTCACCTCAAATACGGGCTCCTTGTCGCGGCTGGGCGTCACGATGTAAGTATGCGTCTGATGCTGAATACGCTTGATAGTCGCTCCCTTGGGCCCGACAACGAGGCCCACTACTCTGTAGGGTACACGCACCTGGATCGTTATGTGACCGGGCACAGTCGTCGGTGGTCCTGGCGGCGCGCCCAAAAGTGCACCCAGCGAGCTTTTGCGCGACGCGCGAATTTGCGAAAAGTGCTCCGCGGCGGAGAGGATCTCACGCTTCGCACGGGCCACGTCCTCCTTGCGTCCTGTGACGACGAACACCGGCTCCTCGCCGCGCACTGGTGTCTTGATGTACGTATTCGTTTTCGCTCGCAATGCTTTGATCTTGCAGCCTGCAATCAGACAGAAAAGGGAAACGTTCGTTACATGTCATTCCAATTCAATTGAAAAGTTAAATGTCCACTTCAAAGTTATCGCTAATTCTTTTGACGTTTCAAATAAATTTATATGAACAAGTGGTCGATAAAATGTTAATTATTATACATATAGCGTGACGTAAAAGAAAATGAATTGCAGATATTATTATTATTCTTTTGTGTGCATACACACTCGCAATATGTCATTCTTAATTTCTCATATTTCGTTACGCGTCCCGGCGCACAAAGCCGCTCACACGTGTAATAAGCCTTCAAAAGTAGCAGCGCGTCCGTGACGCAATTGTTTGCGTATCGCAAAGCGAGAGTTGCGGCGCGCGACGAAGAGGAGAGCGAACGAGAGAGCGAGAGAAAAGGAGAAATTCGATGTAATAAGGATGCCGCGCGTGAAGCAGGAGAGCGGCGCAGCGCGCGAAGCGAGAGAGAGAAAGAGAGAGAGCAGGGTGCAGGAAACTGGAAGGAAGGAGGTCCCGACCCGGTCTGGTCCTCGGTCTCGCAGACTCTTTGGCCTTGAGCCAGCGCAATGCTAGCAATGCAGGTGAACCACTCCTCTCTCCTTCCTTCTCGAGCTTCTGCCTCCTCTCTCTCTCTCTCTCTCTCTCTCACTCTCTCGTTTCCTCCTCGCGCTCTCGCATCTCCTTCTCGCGCTCGTCCTGAGAACCTCTCCGAGTTCTCGTCCTCTCCTTCTCCACCTCCGTCCTTCTCGCTCTCGTTATCCTCCTCTCTTTCCCCCCCGGACCTCCCTTTCATTCAGTTCACTCTCTCCTTCGTCGCGATGGAAGGAGAGAAGGCGACGCGCCGCGTTGCATCGCATACCAGGCGGCTGTTTCGTCTCGCTCTCGATCGGCGCTACATTATTGCCTCTTTTCTCTTTCTCTTTCTCTTTCTCTCTCTCTCTCTCGTCGTTCTCAAATTTGATATTTTCCGATACGCGACAAAATTTAGGCCGAAAGAGCGTGAAAACGAGAGCAAGGCCGCGAAGTAAATTGCGAAATTATTTTGTCCCCGCGCAGAGAGAATGCACTTGAGAGCTCGCCGCGAGTAGAAGGAGAGTGCCCTTGCCTAAGATCCTTGCGTAAGGACAAGCGCACGCGACAATGTCACGGACGTTTCCGCTTTTTCAGGGACATACGCCGCGACGCGAGATTTCAACATCGACGTGAAAACGACGAAGGCGCGCTACGTGGTGTCGGACGGTTGGCGACACAGAAGTGGGAAAGGGATCGACTTTGACTCGCCGGTGAATACGAGAGGTCGTATCGAGGGGCGTTAATGCTGTTAGAACCGCAATTGAATTTCACTCGGTTATATATATTACACGAGACGCATTTTCGCCCGGAGGACGACGGAACTCGAATATTATCTTGCACGTTAAATGCATTTATCGTATCAAAAAAGAAATGCAAAGTATGAATTTTTCATCTCTCAAACTTATATCTAATTAATTAATCTTCAAATTTCTTTTCGGAATAAAGTTCCAATCTCAGATAGGGAGGAGCAGTGCGCTCTAACTGCGCTTGCATGCGACTTTAGAACGCAGCGCAGCCGAGTTTTCCCGTTTCTCAAAGATTCTCTTTCTCTCCCTTACTCCGGAAATTTGCCTAGGGCAAACCGGAGCGCGTCTGGGCTAAATAACTTTGCGTGGAAGCAGAGGCAGGCAGGTGGACGAAGGTGGATCGGAGAATACCAAACGCGCGCGCGCGCGCGCAAGCGAGCGAGCGTTCGAAACGGACCCGTGTGCACAGGTAAACCGGCGCGCGGCAGGAGAGCGAAGACCCGCCAAGGAGAGGAAGGTTGCCGCGTAGAACCTCGAGGAAGGTGGCGACGGTGGTTGCGATGGTGCCCGATGGTGGTGGTACAAACGGAGAAAGAGGAGAAGGTGGGGCGTGGGTCGTAGACAGTTGAAGGGCCGCGGCCAAGGTGAGGCGAGACGGAGAGGATAGGGAAAAAGAGAGGAAAGCAGAAGGAGAGAAAGAGAGAAAGAGATAGAAGAAAGAAAGAAGGCCCCGTCGGAGAGAACGCTGCTCGGGGGACCCTTCTTCGCTTTGTTCGCCTCGTCTAAGGGACGAGCGCGAGGACGAAAAGAGAGGATATCTCGAAAGGAACAAGTCGGTCCTACACCCCGATTGATCCGCTGCCGCGCTGCTCCGTTCCGTACAGCGCCGACCGGCGAATCCGGATTCGACCCGGGATCGGCTCGAGTGCGCGCGGTGCGCGCGCGACGATTAAACGTTCCGGTTCGGCTGGATGCGATCGCGGTCGCGACGAAAGATCCGCGAGTCGATTCGAATCATTCGTCACGCGCGGAGTATTTGTCAACGGAGCAACTGCAAATTTATTCCTTCTCCGCATTGTCGGAGACTTGTCATTCGTATGACTGATGTGCGCGAGGCACGTGGTACGACGTTCCCCGAGTGTGAGTATAATAATGAGCGAAAGCCACTGGGATGGAGCGAACGGCGCGTCTCTCCATTCCCACGATACGTCACGCGCTCGAATGACGTTGCTAAAATCCGCAGCAGCAGCGGCGGCTCCCCAAAGGCCGCAGGATCAATAGTTACAGGCTTCCACACGGCCCACGGCTGCATTATAGACGCTCCGTGTAACTCGAGTGCATAGGGCGTCGAATATAGGGTGTGTCGGCGCTTCTAAATTTGTTTCTCCTCGTTTCAGCCCTTTATTTCCGTTTAAGTAATCTTTTATTCAAGTAATCTCAATATTATTTGCATCAAGATCGATCGAAAACGACATTTTTTTTAATGTATAAAATATTTCGATGAACTTGGAATCTTTTCAAACGAAAATTTCCAAAGACTCCTGATTCCTACTGTACTTCTTGGAAAGGTCGAAACATGCTTCGAGGAAGGAAAGATCCGAGAGAGATACTCGTGAGCCATCTGCTCGCCTTTACTTTAATTACGTTCGCTAAATACTCTAACGGAGAGACACTTCTTCTCGAGAAGAATTCTACTTAAAGGTTTTATCGAACAATTCTCGAAAAATTGGGACAGAGCAGCGAGAGTTTTATGCGAATTTAATTAGAGACATTAATAAATATTGTCAAATTCCAATTATTGCGTAAAATAAATTAAATAAAATAAAACAGATTCAATATATTCCATGTATTTATATATATATTTATTATCAGAAAATTTTTATTTCTCTTCAAACATGTTAATGCGTATTGGAGAAATTCTATCGAAAAACGATTTCAACTAGATAGTTTAATTACCGATTTTAGCGAGAAAATGTATCACGAGCGACAATTCTTCAACCATTCGTGCATTGAAAAGCTACAAAGGACATGCAGTTTCCTCGGTCGACCGGTGACGGCAGAGTTTGTTTAGGCTCCGGTGGGCCCTTAAGTAGCGGTACCCTTTGGCGTCGTGGACGCAAGGTCCGTAGGTCCGCGCACAGCGGAGAGCTGGCATCACGAGTTTCTCAGGCAGGTCAGTGAAACTGCGCCGTCAAGTTGAAGGCCAACACCCCCACAATGCAACGGCCGAGCACCACCGCCGGCTCCCCCCACCATATCGTTAGATCCTCCGCCTCTTCCTCCCGTGTGCCTTCCATCCCCCTTACCACCGCTAACGTCGCCCCGTTCTAAACGTAACCTCGCGGCGCTCGACACGCGCGTGAGCGATACCAGAAAATTCCAATAACGCCGATAACTTCGCCGGCCGCCTCTGTGCAAATACTTCTTCGCGGAACCGGACTTATCGCGCTGGAGACGATTAATCATTCCCCTCTCCGCCCAATTCGACCATCGTTTAGCCCATTTTTCACGGCACACCTGGGAATTTCCCGAAAACTCGGACAATCATCCTTCACGGAGGGCTCAACAATAGCAAAAGTAGAAATCTCATTATCGGGAAAGTCAAGTACATCGTATGATTTAGGAGCGCAATTATCTTTCTAATAAACGAGACATGGAAGAAGATCGACGATGAATGTTTTCTAATTGTTTTATCTAATTGTTTTTGTCCGAGAAAAATGAGTCGAACGAAGAACAAAGTCGCAGCGGCAGCTGCGTGAATGGAATTATGCAGCCGTATCGCGGAGCATTGCGATCCGAGAACTTCGGCGGCGCTGGCGATTCTCTCTTTCTCTTTCTCTCCTTCTCTCGTTCTTTGCCTCAGCAGCTCGGCCGAGGAAAACGTAGCAGCACGCGGTCACTCGTGCGTTGACCATCGGGCAGTCCGGATCGGCGAGTGCGCACGCGGTTGTGTAAACGACCCGTCCGTCCATCGTCGCCTCTTTTTCTCCTCCTCTCCCCCTCTGCGCGCGCGAGAGATTTCCTCTCCCTCTCATTTTCTCTCTCCGTCTCT